CACAAGCACATTACTTACTGCCTGGGAAGCAAATTATAAGAGTTAGGGTTGTAGCCACCTTGCTTATACTTGTATAAAAGAGGTGAATCATAAATATTTCTAGATTATTTGAATATTATTATTAAGGAAGTTACTAAGCTTTATTCATTCAGTGGACATTATTGGGTATCTATTCTGTGCACTATAACCAGGCTGTAAAGAAACACACTTGACCCTTGAACAACATGGTTTTGAGCTGCATAGGCCCACTTGCATGTGGATTTTTCTGTTTTCTTTTTTTTAATCCTCACCCAAGGATATGGGTGAGTTGTTTTAGAGAGAGAGGAAGAGAGAAATATCGATGTGAGAAACATCGATTGGTTTGCTCCCCTACAGATTCTGACTGGGGATCAAACCTGTGATCTAGGTATGTGCCCTGACTGGGAATCAGACCCACGACCTTTTGGTGTACAGGATAACACTCCAACCAACCGAGCTACCTGGCCTGGGCTGGATTTTTTTCATTAGATAATGTAAATGTATTAACTCATCCTTATGACTATAGTACTTTGTGAAGAGTTAAGAACTGAAACAAAGCTATGTGTAAATGGCCAGTAGAGGGCCAAAGGATGCCACAGCCACTGTGTGACATGTTTTATGGTATTTCACATTCTATTAACTAACATTCTTTGAGCATCTTCTATTTTCTAAGTACTGTTCTAAGTACTCTTCATGTATCCTCATATAATCATGAGTCATAATATAAGCATTTGTGATTTAAGAGTTTTTAATTTTCATAGTAGACCTGTGAGGTATGTGCAGTCACCATTCCTGTTTTACAGATGAGGGCACTGAAGTACAGAGCAGTTCATCTTCCTGAGCTAATAAATGGTAGAGTTGGCTTTCATACATTGTCTGACCCTGTGGCTCTTAGCCTCGCTACTCTGCTGCCTTACGTAGAGAGAGGTGGGAGAATTACATCACATCTGACACACAGTCATACAGGTATTCCAGATGCGGAAGACCAGGTATACGGGCAGTCAGCACAGTATTCGTATTACTAGTTGAGATTTTGTCTCTGCAGACGTCTATTTTCCTGTCACGTTAACGTTGTTGGTTGAATAGTATTGGTTTTGTGGTTGTATTTGGATTTAATTTGTAAGATATTACTGTTATGAGTTATTATAAGTGTGAAAAGTTTTTTCCTAGTTTACATGTATTTCAATAACACTGTAACAAAAACAACAACACTCAGAGATGCTGATGAACAGGATTGTTTTAAATCCTTTGGAAATCAAAGAAATCTTTTGTAATAGACATGAATATGTATTGATTTCATTTATTATACAAATTCAGAGTTTTATATAAAGTATTGAATTTCCTTAAGGTAAAACAGCACGAATCTAGGAAACTCTTTGAATTTCTTGCTTTTTGTATTTGGATGTATTCCCCCTATCCTAGGCAAGTGACCTGGGTGGCTCGTAGACAGTCCTTAGGTACTAGTATGGACAATACTTGTAGGCTTCCTGCCCCCTGGGTTCCCCACTGGGGACTATTCTTTTGTCACAGACGTAGAATGATATCCTATATATGGAGTTCTCTAGAACCTACTACTAGAAAAAACACAGAAGGCCTTTTATTCAGGTGAAAATTCAAGTAGTAAGAAGTGAAAAGTTATCTATGATTTCACTGTCCGTTGTCTTGTTTCAAATGAAATTATGATTCAGTTTTATAATCAACATGAGACTATCATTTTTCTCTTTATAAAATTTTAATCATTTTTTAAAACTTAATTTGGTAAAGCTTTCCTTTTGCAAATTTAATTCATTTTCATTACACGTCAGAGGTTCTACTTCGTGTGCTCTTTCAATCATATTTAAAGTAATTTTCTCCAAAGAAGAAACCCTTTTGAATTTAAAAATTATTTATTGAGCTCCTACTGTGTACAAGTCACTCTGCTGGTCATTGATGGTTTATTTGGTTCCTTACCACATCATTTCATTTTTGTACGCATGCCTGGTGTACTTCGGAAGTACAAAAACTCCATTCAGACATTTGAATCTCTGATACCTGCTTCCATGATAGATTTATTTCCTTAAGTATTCTCTGGCTGGATTTATTTGTCCTTATATTTTTTTATTTTTAGCTATTTGTTCTAAGCAATGTATTCATTTACTGTTGTAAAGTATCCTATGGAGAAACTGTGCAATAACCACCACTCTACAGTTGTGTAGGACTTTAAAATTCTATTCTCTAAACTGAAATAAAGACTTTCTGATGTTTGGTAAGATCTTCTGGTCTAACTTCTTTGTTTTAGATGAAGTTAGTGGTCTTGGAGACATCTGAAATTGTAAAGAAAATAGTGAGTGTGTACATTTTTCCTAAAAGAAGTCCTGTATCTTTATTGTATTTACTTAGGGCTTTTGTAACACAAATAAATGTGAGAATTAAGGGTCAGTAAACGTGGGGCTGATCTTCATATGTAGTCTTAGAAAAGCTGTGGCCCACTAATAAAAGTTTTTTCAAGAAAGATTTCTGTTTGAGTATGTTTCTGTCACCACTTCTGACACCAAATGTAGTTCTTTTCTTTTTTTCTTTCTTTTTTTTTTGACACCAACAGCCATTTCTCCTACACCAACTGTGTGTCTAATAATTCAGTTTAATTCTGATACTAACTACCCAAGAGTTAGCACAGACCCCGTTGCTTAAGGGCTTAGTCCCACAAGACTACTTAAGATGCCACCTGGAATTGGGTCCTAAGCTACCCCTGCTTCTGCCTGGCTGATTATAAATTTGGGGGTTCTCACAATCCCCCTCCCCCAGGTTAGATAATTTGTTAGGATGACTCACAAGCCTCATGAAAGTGCTAAACTTACTATTAATTTACTATAAAACATACAACTTAAGGAACAGCCTAATGGAAGAGATGCACAGGACAAGGTATGGGAACAGGGTGGAACAGAGCTTTCATGCCCTCCCCCAGCATTTTATTGTGTTCATCAACTTGGAAGGTCTCTGAACCCTGAAGTGTTTTAGAGTTTTTGTGGAGGTTTTTATTACATGGGCATGATTGATTACATCTTTGGCCGTTGGTGATGAACTCAGTGTTCAGCCACTCTCCCTTCCACAGAGGTCTGGGGTGGGACTGAGAGTTTTACCCCTTTAATCAGGTTGTTCATTTGTCTAGGGACCAGTGCTCAATCTGAAGCTGTTTGGGGCCTTCCCCACCACCTCTCCACCGTGAGCCATCTCATTAGTATGCAAAAGATAGTAAATTTCAAGGGTTCAGAGCTTTGTGTCAGGAACCTGAAATAAGGAGCAAATATTTTTTGTTATAAAATGCTTGTATTACTGTATTGCCTCAAATTCTACATAGTGAATCTTGTTGAATATTTTTGGATTTAAACGTGTGAAATTTACATTTTTATACATAATTTTCCTACAAAATGTATTTTAAGCCTTTCCCATGGATGTGTTTATTGATTTTAGAGAGGGAAGGGGGAGAGGAGGAAGGGGGAGGGAGGGGGAGAGAGAGAGAGAAAGAAAAAGAAAGAAACATTGATGAGCGAAAGGAGCATTGATCAGTTGACTTCCTTACACTCTCCAACTAGGGATTGAACCCATAACCTATGTGCACTGACCAGGAATCGAACACCAATCTTTTGGCGTATAGGGTGATGCTCCAACCAACTGAGCCACCTGACCAGGGTCCCTACAAAATTTTCTATAAAATGAGGGTTAAAATGAACAGAAATGCGTTAATTTTAAAAATTGCCTTGTTTTTTGGAAATCTTTTACTGTATATGGTCAGACTTGTTCAGTCATGGAACTAATAGGTTGCTAATCTGAAGCAATGATAAATTCATTTGGGAAGATACAGAGTGGGTTACCCTGGAGGTGTATTTCTTGTGTTTTGTTTTGTTTTGTTTTTTGTTTTCATATGCTTGAATGACTCTATGGCTTGTTCAGGTGAAGGATGATTTGGTTCCCCAGAGGACATTAGGCAGTGTCTGGAGACATTTTTGGTTGTCACAAACCCCCCCCCCTTTTGGTGGGGAGGCTGCTGCTGATATCTAGTGAATCCCTAGATGCCAGGGGTGCTACTATAAATCCTGTTATACATAGAGTAGCCCCTCACAGGAAAAGAATTGTCTGGCCCCAAATGTCAGTTGTACCAAGGTTGAGGAAAGCTGGTGGCCAATTTAGGAGCCACCAGTTTGAAGCTTTGAAGCTGTGGGACTGGACACAGTCACCTCAGCTGATGTCCAGTTCTTCAGCTCTGGAACCTATCCACTTAATTAATTCTACTATTTTGATAGATATCAGAAATATTTCTCATTCCTGTCTCCATACCACTTAAAGAGACCAAAGTACAACCTTCCAAATTACCATAATAAGGTTATTAGTTGACTTCCTGGTTTGGAAAAAAACAAACAGTAAAGCCTTTACTGTCTTTATAGTCCTGGACCATTATGGAGGACTTTCTAGACCTCCACTGAAAAGTATTTCTATCCAAGATGGAAAGAATTCTGGAGATTGTCTACACAGCAGTGTGAATGTACTTAACACTACTGAACTGTATACTTGAAAATGGTTAAGATGGTAAATTTTATGTTATGTATATAGCAATTTAAAAAATTTGTATCAAGTGTTTTATATGTGCTTATGTGGTGTTCCACTGTATTTAGGACTGTTGTTCTCAGTTTCTGTAACAATTATCTTCTAGTCAGAGATTTTATAGTATTTTAGGTGGTATGTTACTCTTTTGAAATGCCCCTTAATGTTTAAAGTGTACAAATTAGCCCTCGTTTTAAAGATTAGACATTAATGGATTGGTATGAAGATACAGTGTTTTTGTTTTAGCTTATTAAAGTTAACTGAAGTATTTCACTGAATTCTTAATTTAGGGAATCATATGTAGTCATTGTGTGGATATTGTAAAATAAGTAATTGTTTAACTTCAAATGCTTTCAGTATAAAGATTACTCAATTCATGTATTCCTTTTATTTCTTCCTCATAGGCTTTCAAGGATATGTTGTATTCAGCTCAGGACCAGGCACCTTCTGTGGAAGGTAAGATGCATTAACTTCTACATGTAGTCAGATAAAATCTCTTTCTAAGGAAAGATATTTTTAACTGTCAGTATAAAACCAATAGAACCTATCCTATTATGTAGATCTTTTCTCATTTTTTAAAATTATACTTTATTGATTATGCTGTTACAATTGTCCTGATATTTTCCCCCTTACCTTCCCCCATCCAGCACCCCCCACTCCCTCTGGCAATACTCCTGCCATTGTTTATGTCCATTGGTCACGTGTGTAAGTTCTTTGGCTACTCCATTTCCTATACTGTACTTCACAACCCTGTGGCTATTCTGTAACTACCGATTTTTACTTCTCAGTCTTCTCACCTCCTCACCCATCCTCCCATACCCCTGTCCCATCTGGCAACCATCAAAAAGCTCTCTGTATCCATGATTCTGTCTCTGTTCTTCTTGTTTGCTTGTTCGTTTTTTAGATTCAGTTGTTGATAGATGTGTATTTGTTGCCATTTTAGTGTTCATTGTTTGATCTTCTTTTTCTTAAATAAGTCCCTTCAACATTTCATATAATAATGGTGTGGTGATGATGAACTCCTTTAGTATTTTCTTGTCTGGATAGCTCTTTATCTGCTCTTTGATTCTAAATGATATCCTTGCTGGGTAAAGCAGTCTTGGCTTTTGCCTGCTTTTATCATGACTTTGAATATTTCTTACCAATTTCTTACCTTCTAGCCTGGAAAATTTCTTTTGAGAAATCAGCTGACAGTCTTATGGGAACTTTCCTGTAGGTAACTAACTGCTTTTTGCTTACTGCTTTTAAGATTCTCTCTTATCTTTAACCTTTGACATTTTGATTATGATGTATCTTGGAGTGGGCCTCTTTGCCTCCATCTTGTTTGGGATTCTGTGCTTCCTGGACTTGCATGTCTATTTCCTTCACCAAATTAGAGAAGTTCTCTTTCATTATTTTTCCAAATAGAGTACCAATTTCTTGCTCTTTCTCTTCTCCTTCTGGTACACCTATGATGCAAATGTTGAATTTCTTGAAGTTGTCCCAGAGACTGCTTACACTATCCTCATTTTTTTGGATTCTTTTTTTCTTCTTGTTGTTCTGATTGTTTTTTTTTTTCTTCCTTATGTTCCAAATCATTGATTTGATTCTCACCTTCATCCACTCTATTGTGGTTTCCCTGTAAATTGTTCTTTATTTCAATTAGCGTATCCTTCATTTCTGATTGGATCTTTTTTATGCTGCTGAGGTCCACACTAAGTTCCTTGAGCATCTTCATAACCAGTGTTTTGAACTCTACATCTGATAGATTGCTTATCTCTGTTTTGTTTAGCTCTTTTTCTGGAGTTTTGACTTTTCTTCATTTGGGCCATGTTTCTTTGTCACCTCGTTTTGGCAGCCTCCCTGTGTTTGTTTCTATGTATTAGGTAGAGCTGCTTTGATTATGTGTCTTGTTAGTGTGGCCTAATGTAGTAGGTGTCCTGTAGGGTCCAGTGGTACATCTTCCCCTGTCACCCAAGCTGAGTACTCAGGGTGTGCCCTTTTTGTGGGCTGAGTACACCCTCCTCTTGTAGTTGAGCCTTGGTTGCTGTTAGCAAATCAATGGGAGGGATTTATCCAGGCCAGTCTGCTGCAAGGATTGGCTGTGACCACTGACCCCCAACCTCCTCCCTCCATGGAGGATCATCTGTGCAGGTGCAGAGTGTTGGTGCTCTGACATGGTCTGTAGCTGTCCACTGGGTGCTCTGGCCCTGGGGTTTACTAGGTGGTGCAGATGTCAGCATCTACCTGTTTTGCCCTGGGTCACCCTGCCTGAACTGTAAAGCAGCCTGAGATGGCTGCTACTTGTGCTGGCTTGGAGACTCCCAGGCAAAGCCAGCTGTGAATCTAGCTAGCTGCTGCTAGTGCCTGGCCTGGGTCTCACTGAAGCCAGCTGTTGCTTATGTGAGAGGATTTAGGAAGTTGTGCAGTACAGCCGAGACCAGCCATTCATATGGAAAAGCAGCTTGCATGGGCTTGTAATTTGGGTGAGGCAGAATCTGGGCATCTCCATGTTGGATCAAACAGTGTTACATTGTTAGCCAAGTTGATGGAGTCCGACATGGGGCACTAGCCTGCCTGCTTGGTGGCTCTGCAGGAGGAGGGCTCAGAAAAGGGACAATGGCCTCTGCTCACCCTGATACCAGACAATTTAGCTTCTCTGAGTGTGCCATTGGTGCTCTTCAAACCACCACCCCAGTGCCTGAAGCTCAGAGGGAATGACTCTGAGTAGGTGAGTCTGTGTGTGGGTTCTTTAAGAGGAACTGCTTGGGGCTCCATCAGTTTTTCCCAGTGACTCAATTCCCACTGTTTTTTGCAGCCAGAAGTTGTGGGGACTTATCTTCCTGGCACTGGAACCCTGGGCTGGGGCCTGGTGTGGGGCTGGGACTCCTCACTCCTGAGATATCTTTCCCAAATTTTTATCTATTACACGTGAGTGTGGGACCAACCCGTTTAGCTTCTGTGCCACTCCTACCAGTGTGGATGGATTTGGTTTCTTTAATTCCGTATTTTTCAGGCTGCCATTCAACTCAATTTCTGATGGTTCTGAGTGATGGTGGTTCTATATTTTACTTGTATTGATGTGGTTGTGTAAAAAGGTGAGCCATGTCTGCCTACACTGCGATGTTGATTGGAAATCCCTTTTCATTTTTATAATGTGTTTCGATTACATTATATTTCAATCAGATTTTTGTTTAGGTCACATTTGCCCTGTGATAGATCTCTTATGTGTCCTTAAATCACTTTAGCATTGTGAATCACAGATGCTGGCTTAGACTCAAAGTTCTTATCTGTGTCATTTTTACTTCCTCTCCTTCCAAAAATGTATTTTCATATCTATCTCTTTATCGATCAACCATGAGGGAATCCTTAGTTCATAATCAGTCTGGGCAACATGTCTTTTTCTTTCTGTCATGTCTTTAGACTGGGACTAGTCAACAGAGCATATTCACTCTGTGTGTATGTGTGTGTGTGTGTGTGTGTGTGTGTGACAAGCGTTTATATGTATGCAAGCACACAGTTTGGCAGTCATAAAACAATTGACCCGAGGACAGTGATTCTCTCCTTCATTATCCTTATCGATCCTTCCTTTTCTTTGCCTGAGCTTCTGCTCACCAGCTCATTCTTTATGAGCTTAACCTTTGGTAGGTTTGGATAGTTGTAAGTTAAAGTCATAGGGGTTCTTGTATCATAAATAATTAGGAGCTAATTCAACAACTGTTTCTTGAGGGAGTGTTCTTTCTGAGCCTGGGTATTCTTTCAAATTTTCACATCACATTTTTTTTGCAGGACAGAAGAATGTGAAAAAGTATATGCCAAGAATATTCTAGGTTAATATAGCTTGATATCTTTATGAAATATCAAACTGGAATTTTATGAAGTCAGTCTAAAAAGAAAATTTTTCAGGCTTATTTTTATGACATAGATGCTGAAGTTGTTTAATAAAATTATAGATCTATATTTTAAAATTTTGTTGTCTTTAATGACATAGAAATGTACATCTTTCATTTTTAACCATTTTGAATTGAAAATGTCTTTTTTTTTCTTTTTTGAGATACTGAATTCTCAAAATCTTCACAAGGATATTAACACTTAGATATTAGTTTTATAATATGTTACTCAGTTTTGGTTTATAATATATTTAATATGTTTAATTCTGTAATATTTAACTGAAGATATTTAAGATTTATGAAAATGTTTAGTTCTTTTTTGGGTTATCGTATCTTTTGATGTGTCCTAAAGAGCACCTCCTCAAAATATTTAAACAGTGTAAGAAAAATGAAATTACATGAAAGTTAAACTGATTTCCTCACCCTGTGTAATTTGCTTCAATAGTGATTCTTTTAATTCTATTCTCAAGATTGAGCTATTTTTCTTTCTTTCTTTCTTTCTTCTTTTTTTAAATTACAGTCCAGTATGTAACAAAGATACTCTGAGATATGTTGAAAGTTATGATCTTCAGCTCTCCATGCTGGATCACATTGTAATGTTCATACACTTTTAGCTGTTACAGAAAAATGGAATTCTATCAAAGCATGCTAAAATGAAAGGGTCTTTATTTTTATTTGAAATAAATGTCTAATGATTATAACTTGGAAATGCCTATAATTTGAAATAGTATATATATATATGAATGTTTAAAGACTTATTCTCTGGCATTCTTTATTAATTTATATCTAATTTCCTTTGATATGTATCATTATTACCTGCTCCGTATAATCTCTTATTTTAGTAACTACTTACATTTAGAAATATATGACTGAGAAGGTAATGTAAAATTCTCTGTTAAAGTTATACACTGTATCAATTTTTAAATAATGGCATAATTAAACATTTTACTGTTTGTTATCTTTTTTACAGAAACACTTAAACAGAGCAGCATACATGACAGTAGAATAAAAGTATCATAAAGTGACTAGAATTGTGAGATTTTTTTGTTTTTGTTTTTAATGTAGAGGGGCAGGCATATACTTAGTGTCCTTAGAGTTAATCTTTTTATAGTAATGTTTGGAGGAATTTTTGGAGAGTGGTATTAAAAACATTTAGACTACATTGTTTTTTCACAATTCCTTTTATTAATGAGATATTGTCAATGAAGTATTTAATAGTTGAGAATTTGGTGCAGATTAAAATTAAGCTGCAAACTTGAGGTTCCCCACAGTGAATCACATCTAAATAATCAGGATTGTTTTGAGGAAAGACAATTTATTTTAGATATGAAAAAAAAACTATTAATAGTAGTACCCATTTGACATAGTCAGATTTTCAGTGACAGAGAACAATGGAAGACATAAGTTGATATACTTTTTACCTTTTTTTCTCATGATATATTTTCTCCATTTGGTATCTTGGTCACTTTATGGAATTTATCTAATTGGGTAAATAGTCATACATTTTTTGAGGAAAGTTTCTCTTTCCCAGGACAGTTTTGATACATATTATTTTATATACATATAAATTTATATACTGTATGTAAT